TTTTGAATTTTTCTATTCATTTCTGAATGAAAACGGTTTCAAATGCATCTTAATTCTACTTTAAGCAATCATTGGGAGAAATGAAAACAGAATGATATTACATCAATAGTTGATGTTAAATAAGAATATAGAGTTGTAAACTAACTTTGCATTTAGTCTTGGAAGCGACAAATGTTTGAGTTCATAATGAAATTTCTGACTTGCAAACATTGGTACCTTTGCAGATCTGAGCACAGTTCTGACACATTTTTGAGATCTCGTGGTCATGATCATAGCAAACAAACAAACAAATAAATAACAACTTCCTAAAGCAACAACCAAGACTCAAATGAAAACTACTGTAGTACACAAGCATACGAGTAAACCTACTGTTGAATGATTAAATAAAAATAACTTCAACATTTCACATATAATTCAGTGTGTTACTATTTATGTTATTATTAGTGAATTCTAAGTGAAAATTGTTTCTGAAAAATCCTACATTAAAGTTTTTTTTTTTACAGTGTATTCACAAATTTCAAAAGTTAATTGGGAGAAATTAAAATAGAAAGATATTAGAAAATAGTTTATGTAAAATCAGAATATACAGTTAAAGGTGGGGTAAGCGATTTTTCAAAAGCGCTTTAGAAAACTGATTCGGGCCGACTAGCAAAACAAATTTGTAGCCTATCAACAGTAAGGGGCATGTCTACTCAGGATGTGGAGGAGAGAGCGTTCAGTGCTCACATTAACGAGCCAAGCGACAGAAAGATAGAGATGGCGGATAAAAAACAAAAGAGGAAAATGTCTGCGGAACAAAAGAAGGCTTAAGGCAATAAGGCAAGAAGTAGGACCTGTGTAAATATCAGATCAGATTTCCAGCGCTGGCGAGAACTCAAGGAGCGGAAGGCCTGCGATCAGACGCCGAGGTTGCTTTGTTTCTTCTCGATAGGTGAGTAACACTGTGTCTGTGCCGCAACAGCTAAAGTCTGTCTAGTACACTGGACGCGACAAAGCGAACGTTGAATATCATTTGAAATGTGTGTCAATACATCATGAACAGAACGCAGCAGCAGTTTTCTGTCAGGATTTGTCATGTCGCGTCGCATCCAGTGGTGACCATACATATGTATATATATCTATGGTGTAGACAGCATCACTGATTATAATGAGTTCTATAGTATTTTGTCATGCTGCGCCGCTCGTGACCAGTGTAGACACGGCATAACATTGGTTTTGCTTTGTTTCACAGAACTAATTGTTGCCTGGGTTGCGTAAGTATGTGTGGGGTATCAAAATAAGGGCGAGACCTTTTTGGGGTAGGGGCGTGTTTGTTTTGGTGATTTCAAATGTCAACATTGGCTACCAGAAATCACTTCCCCCACCTTTAATTAATTTGCATAATTTGGTCTTGGAAGTGAGAAATGTTTGGGTTCATATTTAAATTTCTGACTTTGCAAACTTTGGTATCTTTGCAAATCTGAGCACAGTTTGAGACATTATTGCCCCAAAGCTCAAAAGTGAAACTCTACCTGTGTGAAATGAGGGCAAACAGCTTTTCTCAGGGGCTCCTTATTGCATCAATCCACTCTAATCATCTGGCTTTAGTCTCAACTCACCTACACATGCTGTCCCTTCGTCATTAGGCTCGTATCCCTGGTTACACCTCTTGTTTGCACGGCACTTGAAGCTCCCGTAGGTGTTGGTGCAGACAGGTCGCTCAGAGGGACAGACAGACGGAAACTGTGTGCACTCGTCTTGGTCTAGAAAATGAAGAGGAGTGGAATAAATATGCGAAGTTTCAGAAGTGACAACCACATTTTTTTGTGAGAGTGAATACTTTTAGATATCTTTATACTGTATGTGTGCATGGAACAAAGAAGTCGCTCCTACTACCCCAAACTCATGATGACTGACACAGCTTCTGTTCCAAAACCTGCTGAGTTGCCATGCTGTCTACTGCCTATATAGGAAGATTCCTATTAAGGCAAAATCCTAACTGAATTGGAACCTCATGAGTGACTGATTTGGACTGCTTTGCACCACGTTATCAAACAGGGCTTCATATGTAAATCACTTGACTCACAGTTTTCCATTAGCATGTCGCCAAAGTAATGACCCAATGCATTTATTTTATTTTAGGATTTTTTTTGCTTTCATTCTTGCATGAGACTATACTGTAGATGGGACACACTATAATCCAGGCCGGACTCAAACTTATGTCCCTAAGAGCCAACAACTTATATATGTCCTGAGCATGTGCACAGTCTACTGCTCACAGTAATACTGGGTATAACAGATCATAGTATTATTCATATATTTATATTAGTGCTGTCAAACAATTAATCGCGATTAATTATTATTATTTTTGTTTACATAATATATGTATATGTACTGTGTTTATTTATTATGTATACATAAATACACACACATACAGTATATATTTTGAAAATGTTTACATGTATATACATTTATATATTTAAATTATTATTTTTTTATTATATATAAATATATTTAATATATAAACAACATATTTTTCTTAAATATATACATGCATGTGTTTGTATTTACATATACATAATAAATATACACAGTACACACTCATGTATTATGTAAACAAAAATTTTTATTTTGGATGCGATTAATCGTGATTAATCATTTGACAGCACTAATTTATATATTATTTATATAGTAATATTCATATATAATTTTTATCATTTATTTTATTTATTTATTTATATTTAACTACACACATATATATGTACATACATATATATATATATATATATATATGTTAAGTATTTGTTATTTATATACAAATCTACATATGAGAAGTCATATGAATTTGTTATAAATATTTATTTTTATTGTAACTACAGTATTGGACAGTAGTGTATGTGTGTGTGTGTGTGTGTGTGTGTTTATGCTACATTGTGGGGACCAAATGTCCCCACAAGGATAGCAAAACCTGAAATTTTTGACATTGTGGGGACCGGCCTGAATACATACAGTACATATTCATATTTTCCTCAATAATATTAAGCAGCATAACTAAGAAATTTTTCTGATCACCAAATATCACACTATAAGAATAATTTCATAAATAAAACAAAGATTATTAGAATATGTTTTACAAGTAAATACTGTTTCAGGTTTTCTACTTACAAAATTTCATATTTGATTATTTTTAAATATTTTTTCAGTAAATGCTATTTGAAGGATCATGGAGTAATTGCTGCTAAAATTCAGCTTTGCCATCACAATTTAATTTACATTTTAAAACGTGTTTAAGTTTTTTTTATTGTAAGAACATCTCACAATATTAATGTTTTACTGTAGTTTTGTTTAAATTAAATGCAGCCATGGTAAGCATAAGATATTTCTTTAAAACATAATAAATAATATATATAAATATTTATAATATACATTAAATATTATATCAAACCTTCTTTTTGCCCCTTTTTTGCATAAAAATACCAAATGCATGAAAATTAAATTAAATATTGTTAACTACCCACCCATTGCTATAAAGTCAGAAGAATCTTGTTAGATTGATTTTGATGCTCAAATGCCAGTAAAGCTGGACTTGTTAACTTTTCCTCCCCTCTTGCGTCAGCTCCGCATCTCGTCACAATGACAGAGTGAAAAAGTCACCGTGCACCGCAGATGCTTGGCTGGTGACATCAACTTAAGTCTGAAATTGCTGCAGAAACCACTTCTTAGCCATAGTAGGGTGGTGTATGTTGCCAGGCAGCATCAAGTGTTAAGACAAGCAGAGTGAAATATGCCAGCACTTGATCTGTCAGAGGTGAAGAATGGCAGGGCTGTCTGCAGGACGCTGTGGGTTATGGAGCCAGGCTCATTAATCTCGTCTGACTGCTCCGTGCACTGAGCCAGGGTCAGTGTGTGATCTTACCCCAGCACACATGCAGCAGGGTTGGGCTTCACTGTTGCAGCGAGCCCTTATCCCTCCTCTACATTCCCATACTAGCCGACCCCAAAACATCCTGCTCCCCGAGCCCAAAAAATGCTCTGGCAACTGGATTTTTCCTTAGATCAAAATCAAAGAGTCCATATGGAAATAACTGCACAGTCCAAGTTTCTGCAATCTCCTCAGGCCCTTGTATTACAATGTGAGCAGGAGAGAGATGTTCTTATATATCATATGCTAGAATGCATAAGGGTTTTTTTTGGGTCTAATTTTGGCTTTCAATTTCATTTTTAGTTATTATTAAAGGTACATACATCATTTTCAAATTATACTGTATATGTATCATTCCATCTGGCTGTATTGATAGAAAATACATTTGATCAGAAACTTAACTGTTCACATTATAACACCATTAAAGTCTGTTCAAATTTGGTTTGTTTATAATCATTATTTTGAAATTGTTTTAATTATTTGTTTAAAATTGTAAGTTTTAGTAATTTTGAAAGGTGCGTACATATGCCATGTAATTTCCAAATGATATACAATGTACATCTGATTTAATTTGAAATATGAATAAAAATAAAAGTTTTACTTCACGATGTGGTCTGGGTCTATGTTTCTGCAGCTAGATCACTGTGAAATCCCACATGTATAAATCTGAACAACATTTTGTTAAATGAAACAACACTCATTTTTGCAACACTCATCCATGCCAAAAACATGCACCGATCCCAAGGGCAGTCGTGAGTACTGGTGAGGGTCAAAAGTGTATGGTATGAATCTCTCGTGAATGTATTATTCAGAGCACAAGGAATGTAACCTTGCGTGAAACAGATGGCCAGGCATATGCTCTCCTGAAAAACCTGCTAACACGCTGCTGCCGATTTGAGACTGAATGCGCTAGAACTCATAATCGCTTGTAACACGCTGGGACACAGCCTTTTATAAAGATCATTACAATCACAATCTTATCCCACATCACAGTTGATGAACATGAAGATCTTTGTGTGGGAATACTTGTTTTATCTTAAAAACAGGGATCTTTTGTGGTTCCCAACTGGAAAGCGAAGCATTATTTATACAGGTCTGTTAGTGACGACATTGCAAGAGCAATAGGTCCATGGAGAGTTCATTTTACAGCTGACTCCCAAACACCTCAGTGCGAAAATGAAAGGAAAGCAGAGAATCGGAGACCAAGCAGGGTGGAAGAGATGTCAGGAGAGGGGAGGCACTGCCCTTCATGCCTCCAAGCAAGCAGTAAAGACAGCGAGAAGAGTTAGTACGAGAGGCCAAAGATGGGAAGCCAAGAGCTTGAAGGCTGAGGATCTGTTTCCTCCAAAATAAGCCACCTGGGCTGCAGAGATAAAGGAAAGAGAAGCAAACTACACTGTAAAAAAAAGTTTTTATTTGACATTGTAAATAAAGATTATTGAAGCATCTTTTACCCAAAAAACAATCTACTTTAAAAAATGTTGTCTAATTCAATTAGTTGCTTGCCTTTTCTTTGTAATTTTGAATTTTTCTATTCATTTCTGAATGAAAACGGTTTCAAATGCATCTTAATTCTACTTTAAGCAATCATTGGGAGAAATGAAAACAGAATGATATTACATCAATAGTTGATGTTAAATAAGAATATAGAGTTGTAAACTAACTTTGCATTTAGTCTTGGAAGCGACAAATGTTTGAGTTCATAATGAAATTTCTGACTTGCAAACATTGGTACCTTTGCAGATCTGAGCACAGTTCTGACACATTTTTGAGATCTCGTGGTCATGATCATAGCAAACAAACAAACAAATAAATAACAACTTCCTAAAGCAACAACCAAGACTCAAATGAAAACTACTGTAGTACACAAGCATACGAGTAAACCTACTGTTGAATGATTAAATAAAAATAACTTCAACATTTCACATATAATTCAGTGTGTTACTATTTATGTTATTATTAGTGAATTCTAAGTGAAAATTGTTTCTGAAAAATCCTACATTAAAGTTTTTTTTTTTACAGTGTATTCACAAATTTCAAAAGTTAATTGGGAGAAATTAAAATAGAAAGATATTAGAAAATAGTTTATGTAAAATCAGAATATACAGTTAAAGGTGGGGTAAGCGATTTTTCAAAAGCGCTTTAGAAAACTGATTCGGGCCGACTAGCAAAACAAATTTGTAGCCTATCAACAGTAAGGGGCATGTCTACTCAGGATGTGGAGGAGAGAGCGTTCAGTGCTCACATTAACGAGCCAAGCGACAGAAAGATAGAGATGGCGGATAAAAAACAAAAGAGGAAAATGTCTGCGGAACAAAAGAAGGCTTAAGGCAATAAGGCAAGAAGTAGGACCTGTGTAAATATCAGATCAGATTTCCAGCGCTGGCGAGAACTCAAGGAGCGGAAGGCCTGCGATCAGACGCCGAGGTTGCTTTGTTTCTTCTCGATAGGTGAGTAACACTGTGTCTGTGCCGCAACAGCTAAAGTCTGTCTAGTACACTGGACGCGACAAAGCGAACGTTGAATATCATTTGAAATGTGTGTCAATACATCATGAACAGAACGCAGCAGCAGTTTTCTGTCAGGATTTGTCATGTCGCGTCGCATCCAGTGGTGACCATACATATGTATATATATCTATGGTGTAGACAGCATCACTGATTATAATGAGTTCCATAGTATTTTGTCGCACCGCGCCACTCGCGTCCGGTGTAGACACGGTGTAACACTGGTTTTGCTTTGTTTCACAGAACTAATCGTTGCCTGGGTTGCGTAAATATGTGTGGGGCGGAGCTATCAAAATAGGGGCGAGACTCTTTTGGGGTAGGGGCGTGTTTGTTTTGGTGATTTCAAATGTCAACATTGGCTACCAGAAATCACTTCCCCCACCTTTAATTAATTTGCATAATTTGGTCTTGGAAGTGAGAAATGTTTGGGTTCATATTTAAATTTCTGACTTTGCAAACTTTGGTATCTTTGCAAATCTGAGCACAGTTTGAGACATTATTGCCCCAAAGCTCAAAAGTGAAACTCTACCTGTGTGAAATGAGGGCAAACAGCTTTTCTCAGGGGCTCCTTATTGCATCAATCCACTCTAATCATCTGGCTTTAGTCTCAACTCACCTACACATGCTGTCCCTTCGTCATTAGGCTCGTATCCCTGGTTACACCTCTTGTTTGCACGGCACTTGAAGCTCCCGTAGGTGTTGGTGCAGACAGGTCGCTCAGAGGGACAGACAGACGGAAACTGTGTGCACTCGTCTTGGTCTAGAAAATGAAGAGGAGTGGAATAAATATGCGAAGTTTCAGAAGTGACAACCACATTTTTTTGTGAGAGTGAATACTTTTAGATATCTTTATACTGTATGTGTGCATGGAACAAAGAAGTCGCTCCTACTACCCCAAACTCATGATGACTGACACAGCTTCTGTTCCAAAACCTGCTGAGTTGCCATGCTGTCTACTGCCTATATAGGAAGATTCCTATTAAGGCAAAATCCTAACTGAATTGGAACCTCATGAGTGACTGATTTGGACTGCTTTGCACCACGTTATCAAACAGGGCTTCATATGTAAATCACTTGACTCACAGTTTTCCATTAGCATGTCGCCAAAGTAATGACCCAATGCATTTATTTTATTTTAGGATTTTTTTTGCTTTCATTCTTGCATGAGACTATACTGTAGATGGGACACACTATAATCCAGGCCGGACTCAAACTTATGTCCCTAAGAGCCAACAACTTATATATGTCCTGAGCATGTGCACAGTCTACTGCTCACAGTAATACTGGGTATAACAGATCATAGTATTATTCATATATTTATATTAGTGCTGTCAAACAATTAATCGCGATTAATTATTATTATTTTTGTTTACATAATATATGTATATGTACTGTGTTTATTTATTATGTATACATAAATACACACACATACAGTATATATTTTGAAAATGTTTACATGTATATACATTTATATATTTAAATTATTATTTTTTTATTATATATAAATATATTTAATATATAAACAACATATTTTTCTTAAATATATACATGCATGTGTTTGTATTTACATATACATAATAAATATACACAGTACACACTCATGTATTATGTAAACAAAAATTTTTATTTTGGATGCGATTAATCGTGATTAATCATTTGACAGCACTAATTTATATATTATTTATATAGTAATATTCATATATAATTTTTATCATTTATTTTATTTATTTATTTATATTTAACTACACACATATATATGTACATACATATATATATATATATATATATATGTTAAGTATTTGTTATTTATATACAAATCTACATATGAGAAGTCATATGAATTTGTTATAAATATTTATTTTTATTGTAACTACAGTATTGGACAGTAGTGTATGTGTGTGTGTGTGTGTGTGTGTGTTTATGCTACATTGTGGGGACCAAATGTCCTCACAAGGATAGTAAAACCTGACATTTTTGACATTGTGGGGACCAGCCTGTGGTGTGTGTGTGTGTGTGTGTGCATATGTTTATGGGATTTAGGCCTATGGGATGTTAAAGGTCATGTCGCTCAAATAAACTTACCAGTGCAACGGCCATTTTCATTGACCTCAAATCCTGGTCCACACTTTGAAAAGAAAGAGCATTTGTACAACAATTAAACCCCTCAAATAAAGAAGAACACGTGAGTTTGACAGGAAGGGTATGTACCTCGATCTCCACCACTTGGGTCACCTCTTCCTCATTCTCAGGGTAATAGATCTCCATCACTTTGTTCATCTCGCTGGGCTCCAGAGCTCTCGCCACAGAACGTCCATCTGGCCAGAACACTTCCACACTGGTGGCCACATCTTTCCCTGTCAGGGCGGCAAAGCAGCAATCCTTTCAGTAATTCACGAACAGTCTGTCTTTATAACTTCCCCTCAGGCTTAGGAGACATAATGAATGATTTATTTTCTTAATGTACAGCTCTCCATGGAAAAATACCATTCTGGAGAGAGGGCCCTCCCAAGAAGATTCTCGGCAAAAGCCAGTTTGGAATAGGCTCTGGTTTGGCACAGACCACGTAGACTCTTAAACAAATGCACAAGAATGCGTTCAGTCTCAGCTGTGGGCAGCGTCGTGAGCAGCGAGGCCTGAACACGTCTCATTTGATGTCAGCAGAACCGGTTTCTCATGACTGCCGGTGTGTGGGGTTCACAGGCCAGAGAGTTTCTGGCATAGCAGTCACTGAGGCATTAAAGCAATGAGGTTCTCATATGCCAGACCGATGAAATCTGTCTGTTGTTCGGTGGCTGAAATAAGGAGCCATATAAATGGCACGGTGGTTGGAAAGCACTTCATTTAAGAAGGTTTACAGAAGCATCCATTTACTACCTTCAATATGATTGTCAGAGACACTTTCTCACAGACGGCGGGGACAGTAATTAACACGGCCATTAGAGGAGACTGTCGTAGTGATCATGAACGGAGAGATCATCCATTGGAAATTAATGTGGTGGAGGAGGAAGGCAGAACTTCAAAGGAGTTAAAATGAGGAGGGACAGGGTGGGCGCTAGACTTTCTTTCCATTATAGCCTTTAGTCAAGCAGGAGAGAAGCTGACTGCCTTCCCAGTTCTTAATTAAAGCAACATTTCTTAGGTAAACAGATCCACAGGGCTCCTGGCAGGACCAAGGCTGGCTCAGGTGCCTCGCGAGACAAAAAGCATGACATTTCACCAGCAGTTACTGAAAGACGCAGTTTAGTTGGAGAGGACAACTGAGCATCTGTCGGGTTTTTATTTAACAAAGGCAATCTTCAAATTCAGCATGTGAAAAATTATTGTTGATTGCAGGGTTTAGGTAACTGCATGTAATCCTGATAATATTCACTAACAAAAATTACCATGGTACACTAACACATTTTTTTTATATATTATATTTAATATATAGTTGTGTTTTTTTAGATTTTACCATCACATGTATTTTTCTTTGTCTGAGAAATCAAAATAATAATAATAATAAATAAAAAAATTTAATGAATAAAATGTTTTATTATTTTTTCTGTTGAGGTGTATAAAGGTATTTTATTCTGAAAAATCTAAAAATTCAAAATGGAAAAAAAAAATCTAATTTTTAAAAAATTCCATATTTTATGAAGCACCTTTTTTGTCTGAGAAATAAAAAAAATATGAAATATCTAATAATCTTAATTAATTACTTTAGTCTAAAAATATATTTTAAAAAATGTTTTTTTCATGATAAATTTTTTAATTAAATTTAATTTATTTTTTTTATTTACCATGGTATGTATTTGTTAAAGAAATCAAAAAATTCTAAACTCTTCTAAAAAATGAATTTGAAAAGTTTCAGATTTTTCTGAAAGTCTGAATTTTTAAGAATTAAGATTCTGCTCTATTTAAACTAATTAGGTCACTAAGCAAATTTGTAAAATCCAGTTTAATCTGAAACATAACTGAGAACTTTATTAAAAACTAAAGTCACATTATAAGATATAAACTCACAAATGTGAAATGTACAGTCACAACTGTGAGAAATAAAGATGCACTTGTGAGATATAAGGTGCCGTTGTTAGATATTATGTCATACAGTATTTTGAGACAAAGTCACCATTTCAAGAAATAAAGCTGCAATTGTGAGATAAAATGTGTTAAAATGTGTTTAAAAAAAAATAAAAAAATTGATACCATAATCTGATATGGATTTATTTTGTAAAGCAGATATTTTACATCAATTTGCAAACACTCTTACTGAAAGAAACATCGATGAGAGGCCTGAACACGTACGCACATATTTATGAGCCCTCAGGGTGATCCAGTGACCACTGATGGCTATCGTTTTGTTTTTCACAGCACATTCAGAACAATCTGAGCTTCCAGCTGGCAGCCTATTCCTGCCACAAATCTGTCCGATAGCTCCCAGATGAAGCCATGTGCCTCCAAGCATCTGTAACACGGCCGAGCCGTGGGGAAAAGGTCCCGGTCTGCTGCCACCGGCTGCTGCACCTGCAGGCTTCTCTCCGGACCTTCATTCTGTGAGGATATTCAAGGAGCCGGCCTCCACGCGGAGGATTATGTTACTGAGACCCGAAGCCCCCCGCTGAACATTACCTGGAGTTACATCATAATTGTTTCTCTGTAATGAGTCAGCAGAGCGAACGTTTGTTTTCCTGCTGCTCGGCGACCCCGAACATTTCCGAGACGGTGGATGCACTTATGAAATAGATATTTTACAGGTCTGGTCAATTTCATAGCTGTTCCTTTCTTAATGTGATTTTCCCGCAAAGATTTTTTTAGGCAGGCTTTTTAGGGAAAGAGAGTGGGAAAGAAATACATACCGAGTCCAAAGTGAGCCACTGGCTCCATCTCGCACAAGTACCCTGATCCTCCATCTATAATGCGCATGTGAGGGCCGTTTCGCTTGGTGTAGACTATCACCTTTGCCCCACGCGCAAAAGCCCCAAACTGTGTGCGTGGAATCACACGCAGCCATTTATTAGATGAGCCCTGTAATGAGAAACCAACAACTAATAACTCAGAACAGTACTTTCAGTTGATAAACTTTAACTAGAAATGCAAAATACTCTTTTTAGGATGACCATACATCCTCTTTTTGTTTATGCCCTGGTCTGGAATTGCCTGCAATGTCTGGTTTTCGGCTTTGTTTTCATACTTTGATGAAGGTAATGACTGAAAAGTAGTTCGACCAGTTGTGTTCAGGCATTGTACATAATCAACCCATAGTGGTGTGTGAGAAGGTGGGATCTACAGAAAACTGTCAAAGCAATGCAATTATGTGTACATATAATATATGAAGACTGCAGAGAGCACGTCGATAGGAAAATGAAGCAAAAACCTTTTTTTTCAAAAAAATTTTTGAATTCTGGGAAAAGAGTAAGCATGGTCACCCTACTGTTTCTAAGCTATCATGATGCATGCCTAAAAATTGCAAATTAGATCTATTAATTAATTAATTTTCTTCTAGACAGCAATGAGATTAAAAGGAGAGCAAATGGAGATTTTTACCACTGCGAAATAATTCCAAGATAATTCGGCAGATGTATGCGATTTTGAAAATAACTCTTCAAATTCTTCCTAAACCATATTATCTGATATATCCTATCCACATTCACTGTATTTCTATATAGGGAAAGAGAGTGGGAAAGAAATACATACCGAGCCCAAAGTGAGCCACTGGCTCCATTTCGCACAAATACCCTGATCCTCCATCTATAATGCGTGTGTGAGGGCCATTTCGCTTGGTGTAGACTATCACCTTTGCCCCACGCGCAAAAGCCCCAAACTGTGTGCGTGGAATCACACGCAGCCATTTATTAGATGAGCCCTGTAATGAGAAACCAACAACTAATAACTCAGAACAGTACTTTCAGTTGATAAACTTTAACTAGAAATGCAAAATACTCTTTTTAGGATGACCATACATCCTCTTTTTGTTTATGCCCTGGTCTGGAATTGCCTGCAATGTCTGGTTTTCGGCTTTGTTTTCATACTTTGATGAAGGTAATGACTGAAAAGTAGTTCGACCAGTTGTGTTCAGGCATTGTACATAATCAACCCATAGTGGTGTGTGAGAAGGTGGGATCTACAGAAAACTGTCAAAGCAATGCAATTATGTGTACATATAATATATGAAGACTGCAGAGAGCACGTCGATAGGAAAATGAAGCAAAAACCTTTTTTTTCAAAAAAATTTTTGAATTCTGGGAAAAGAGTAAGCATGGTCACCCTACTGTTTCTAAGCTATCATGATGCATGCCTAAAAATTGCAAATTAGATCTATTAATTAATAAATTTTCTTCTAGACAGCAATGAGATTAAAAGGAGAGCAAATGGAGATTTTTACCACTGCGAAATAATTCCAAGATAATTCGCCAGATGTATGCGATTTTGAAAATAACTCTTCAAATTCTTCCTAAACCATATTATCTGATATATGCTATCCACATTCACTGTATTTCTATATGTTTTTGTTTTATTTCTAATAATCCTTGCAACCTGGAGGTACTATTTTGTTTGAGACTTCCGATTTATTAAGCTGCCATTAGTAATAACTAGAAAAACATCAAAGTTAAGTATTAACTTAATATAAATGGTTTTATTAATATTAAAACTATTTTCTCTACAAACCAGTGTGTTTATGATTATGATAATAAATTATAATAATATATAATTCCAGTTAGTAGTATAAGCAGCATAAATTACTGTTTTTGTACAGGTAAAATAACTGGAAGTGAATGACACCGGAAGCAGCACGCATTCAAGTTACAAATGACCGTGTTATACAGTTGTATCATTTGTGAATACCGCATTTTTACTTCTCTTAAGGAATTGCAGGGGGGAAAAAACTAAAAACATTTGAGATGAAGTTGATACTAAAACCATGTGTAACTTATTTCTCCATGAAACCTTTAGTATTTTGCCTAAAAGTGGTTGACAGGTCTAAAACACGTCCTCACCTGAGTGACTCGATACACCGAGATGGGTTGAGCTGCACTTTCCCCATGCGTCACCAGAAGATCCAGCTGTCCATCTCCATCAAAATCAATCACAGCTGCTCCTGAAATACAGGTCATTCTACTCAGACACAGCTGTAACAATTGTTGTTTCTGGTTCTCAACATTAATACCAAAAAAAAAAAAAAAACATTTAACTTTAGACCAGTTCTACATTAATACAGTGGCTTTCTAATGATGATGATGATAATTCAGATTGAGTGGTGACTGCACTCGATTCTAAATGTCAGTAAATGAGCCACGATACAGTTACAAACAAGCTTGGATTTATAATGCCATCTAGTGGTAGAGAGGAGACAACTAGGATTAAAGTTTGTAGATAAACTCAATCATCCCATCACTGCACAGTTTAGTTGTTTGTTCATCTAGTACAATGGTTCCCAACCCTGGTCCTGGAGGCACCCCAACACTGCACGTTTTGCATGTCTCCTTAATTAAACACCTGATTCAGGTCATCAGCTCATTAGTAGAGATTTCAAGACCTGAAATTGGTGTATCAGAGAAAGGAGACATGCAAAATGTGCAGTGTTGGGGTGCCTCCAGGACCAGGGTTGGGAACCACTGATCTAGTACACCTAGATGATAATTTCTCCATTATATGTGTGCCCAATTAACATACACTACTGTCCAATACTGTAGTTACACTAAAAGTTTGAAGTCAGTAAGTTTTTTAAATGTTTTTGAAAGAAAAAAAATGCATAAAACAATACAGTGAATATTATTACAATTTAAAACAACTGTTTTATTATATTTTCAAAATGTAATTTATTTCTGTGATGGTAAAGCTTTAATTTTTGATTCAGCATCCATTACTCCAGTCTTCAGTGTCACATGATCCTTCAGAAATCATTCTAATATGCTGATTTGCGTTTTAGCGTTTACATGATAAATGTTTTGAAACAATATGAAGTTGAGAACATTGATAGTCCTTCATAACTAAAAAAAATAAATAAATAATAATAATAAATTAAAAGCTTTGGTTCATTTTCAAGTTATTTTAAGGGGAAAATCTTAATTTACCATTTGTAAAACTCTACAAAATAAACAGTCCTATTTTAATGGAATGAAGCAGCCAAATCCTTCATACCGGTTCCCCGTCCCTCTGGTTCGGCGGCCTCCCCGACGTTCAGCTCCTCGATCTGTGGATCTCCGTGTTCTCTCCGAGAAACTCTGCCATGGTAAAGATTAATTACTTACTCTCTTTGCCTTTTGGCTTGAGAGAGCTCCACACAAAGGAACAGTCAAAGACAAATGTACCTTGTCAGCTGCATGTTATACAACATGTCTCAAAGGAGATATTAATTTACGGGCTCATGAAACCCCCGCAATATTGATTCAGTTAAAACATTTCTAGGGCTGGAAGATCATACTTTATATTTTGATGACTAATAATGCTAACTAAAAGGTTTCTTTATATTAAAAGCTTAAATCTTTGCTTTCTGAGAACCGAGGTCCAGACTGTTTGAGTATGGGATTAGAAACTAATTTGAAACAATGTTCGGTTTAATGCTACATCCAGTCTCCTCATTAGAAAGCCATCGTGTAACGGGTGAGGTCAGATGTTGGGGGAATTTCCCATCAGATAGAGTTGTGGTTGGACTGGGTTTGTTTGTGGTCTGGCAGTTGGACTTGCTGGCTTGTCGTGCCGCCTGGGCTTACCATCAAATCCCCAAAATAGAGAGAGAGTTTCCATAATTATTTCCTACCTTACAATGTAAATTTTAAAGAAATATCTCTGTTACATAATGATAATACATGTCATTTTGATCAAGTAAGCAATTGTATAAATATATACAAATATCCAAGACAGGTTACTGTACATTCATTGTTACATTCATTTTTTAATTGTTATCATTTAAAAAAAAAATTTATTTGTTTATATCCTACTGATATCTTTTATGGGACAAAAGTTTTATCAGAAAGTTGTTGTTCTTTTCCATACAATGGAAGGGAATAGTGACCAGCAGTTTTTATTGGTAACTAAAACTATAAGAATTGTTTACGTCATTAAAATTAAAGCTGAAATAAAATAAAATAAAATATGAATATTAGACTTTTAAAAAAACGTAAATGAAAATTATAAATGAACTAATTGTATAAAATTAGCTAAATGCAAATAATTTATAAAACTAAAATGGAAATGAAAATCAGTTCAAGCTAAATAGAAATATTACAAAAAAATACAAATTAAAATAGCACAAAACAAAATGACTAAAATTTAAATAAAGTATGCTAAAAGCAATTATTATTATATAAATAAAAATAAAAGCAAAATATTATTAAATACTATAAAAAAAAAGAAAAATCAGTGTGAACATCCTGCTAAATATCTCCTTTATGTGTTCTGCACCACTCTAAGATGTAGCTTATGCATATCAGTAGAGTACACACCTGAACAGTCTGTTGGCTGATGGTCCTCTGTAGGCAATGTTGTTGAAAAAAACCTCCAGTTCATTGTCATTATCAAAGTCAGCTGCGATGACAGTACGAACAGGAGATGGCATGGAAAACTTCTGTGTGGCGATGTCCTGGTACAGAGAATATCAGCACATCAAAATTTTAAACACCACAGTGTTGACACACTTTACACTTGGGAAAATCCCCTGAAGAACGTCTTCCTTATAATACAGTTGTTTCTACAGATTAAACTGGGACGGGAAAGTATTTTTTCCTTCGCTGACAGGAGAGCATCAGCTTCAAGATTTGGAGAGTCAAATGTATGATATCTATGACATAAAGATCTAAGCTGCAGGTAAATCACAGTCTAAAAACTTCAGTGGGAGCAGAAAAAAGTAACTGCTATCGTCGTGCTTCAATAGTGCAGCAACGAGTCATGGAAGAGTTATTGAGCATGCCGGCACTCTCTCAAGTATTAACCCCAATTTTAATTATAGGGCTCATAAAGCCTGCAGGTGAAAGCCCATGAAGTGACCTTCTGCTGTCTGGTTGAAGGAGAGGTGATGGCCATCTCTGGACAGGAACCAGCAGAGGAGGTACAGCTGAGCATGAGACAATACTGAGCATCTCAGATAGATCTCAGATACAGTAGATGGAAAGACGAGTGTATAGACAGAACGAACAAACGAACGAACGATAGATAGATAGATAGATAGATAGATAGATAGATAGATAGATAGATAGATAGATAGATAGATAGATAGATAGATAGATAGATAGATAGATAGATAGATAGATAGATAGATAGATAGATAGATAGATAGAATTATAGAACGATAGCTAGATAGATAGATAGATAGATAGATAGATAGATAGATAGATAGATAGATAGATAGATAGATAGATAGATAGATAGATAGATAGATAGATAGATAGATAAACTTATTATGACTCACACATGATCTTCCACTATAGCTGGTGTGCTTGTTCAGCCAAAGTTTAATTAACACACGGTATAACAGAGCATCTTAATCACAATGCAATTATACATGGCAAAGGTCACAATGTCCTACGCTGATGCACAAATCCTTCTGTAAGGTATCCCATGAGACATTAACCCAACAATTGACCCCCATAAAACAGCTTCCTGCTGACATTTATCTCTGTGCTAAAGAAGCCAATCACTGCCGCTAACACTGGGATCAAGCTAAAGCTGAGAAAGACCTACACACACAGCGCCGATCCATCCATACCAAACACAATTACCTGACATACTCGGGTGATACAGATCCAAAGGTTCATGACTAAAATAAATAGATAATATTTTGTGTTCATTACTTCTTTAATTATTATTATTTATTTAAGGACAGGCTTGCTTACATAGCCTAATTAAACCATTAGTTCAAGATTAGCAGACTTACAAATTCTGATTGGCCCCACAGGACAAAAAATGCACAATCTTTCTCCTAGACAACAATGTGCTTAAAGAGAGCTGATAGAGGTTCTTTAAGATTTATTATAGTTTTATCTTGAGAAAAATACCCAAGTGATCTCATATGCGTCTCATCTAGAGTTTCAAAAGAAATCACAATGTTCTTAGGTTTGCCAACAATATCTGATATTACAAGACATTTCAAATTTCATTATGAACAAAGAATTTTCATCAAATTATTCAAAGTTCAAATGTAATCTAAGCTATATAAATTCTTTGTTATATGTCTGCCATAACATAGATTTTGCCACTGTTTTATAAAAGTTGTGATAAAATCACTATAATGCACAGCCTCTTGTAGCTTATATTGTTTTATTTTACTGTACCATAAAGAAGTTAACAAATATCAGCCACATACAGTACTACACTGTTTAGGGTCTGTTCATTTTTTTTTTTTCCAAGCTGCATTTAATTAATTAAAATACAATAAAACAACATTGAAAACAGTTACGCTACTTTTTGTGAAAAACCATGACATACTTTTTTCAGGATACTTTCATAAATTTAAATTTCAACAGAACACCATTTATTTGAAATAGAAATAATTTGTAAAAAAATATATAAAAGTCTTCATCGCCATCAAATTAGCGCATCCTTTCTGAAATAATGTATTAATTTCTTTAAAAAGAAAATCAATACTGACCCCCAAACTTTTGAAAAGTAGGTTATGCGAAAAATAAAAAAATAAACATTTCTCAAACATTCAGACTTGATTCAGTCAAGCTATCAGCAGGTTTATAAAACTTCCTGTGTAAGTCTCAGAAAAATAAAGAGGTTCTTCGATCTTACTGTGACTAATTACAATCACTGTGCTTTACCAGATAAAACGAGAGCCAGGTCGCTGCGCAAACAATAGAACAATGATTAGAGAATAATTGAATACTCTAATCAGACAGCAGATGGTATTATTTTATCCTCTGTCTTCTCTCAGAAGGATTTAATTATACAGATCAAAATGTAGGGATCATGTTTTGTTCAACATAACAAAGATGAAACCTACCATTCAGTATAGTCACATCTAATAAAAAAAAACAAAAAAAAACTAGATTTGCATTTCCACCAGTGTTTTGAAGGCAGCTAAGTAACTGTGTTACAGTTTCTGGCCTGGCAAGCACTGCAGTAAACCCTTTTTGCTTCTATTACAGCTAAAAGAATATGAAAATAGTGATTTTAAAACCTGCACCTTAAACCTTTGCTTGCGATTATTGCTGAGTTGTAGGAACAGACGATGCGGCCCATTCCAGTTTCCATAGACAATGTCAGTCTTCCCATCCCGATTAAAATCTGCTAACGCCACTCCACGGCCATGCTGCATCGGGTCATCAACCCCTGCGACAACAAATACAAATATCTCATTGCATGTTTGCTGTGAAAGGCTAACAAACTCACCTTTCAAAAATAAAATCAGCAGAAAAAAGAAAGGCGCCAGCTCTTGCTTACCCACTTGTGCTGCCACATCTGTAAATGTACCGTCTCCGTTGTTGCGAAACAGGAAGTTAGGGCTGTACTCATTGTCACAGAAAATATCAGGTAGGGTCTGGCTGAGGATGGGACCGACCACGACCCCCCGTCCCCCTGTAACACACAGCAGAGACGGCCATCATCACCAAACGCACAGAAGAAATCGTTAGTGGCTTTCCAGCTCATTTCCCCAGCAGCGGCTCTCTGCTGCTTTTGCTGACACAGACTCTGACTGCCCATAATCACATTACAGGGAGTGTGAACATGTGCATTTAACCAGCTTTACATCCACACATCTTACCCGGCAATCACTATTCTACAGCTCTGACCTCTAGTTGAATCACAGCAGCAAGTAATTCTTTATATTGTAAAGCGCTTTTCACAGTGAACAATGTTTCGAAGCAGCTTTAAAGAAAATTGTGCTTTTATTTCTTAAAGCCCAACAGGACCAGCCTTTTCTTAATGCTAAATATGAGCATGCAAGACATTTGAACAGAAATCTGGAGGAGGGATCAACTTAAAAATAATAATAATAATAATAATAAATAAAAAAATGTAAAAAAAAATGAAATTCTGACCTACAAAATAAAAAAAATAAAAAAATTAACCATTCCATGTTTTGTGTCATTTGAACATGTGATAATATGTGAATAATGTAAACAATATGAAAGAAATATGAAATATGTGAATAAAATAAATAAAAAATATTTGATAATATGCATTTATAATATAAATGAAATAAAACATACTGTAGTTGAAACCATTCCATGTTTTGTGCCATTTGTACATGCAATAATTGGTGAATAATGTAAATAAAATGTGAAATATGAAATGTGAAGTGAATAAATAAAATAAAACTGCATGTATAACATAAATCAAATAAAACGTTGTTGAAATTTAACTAATGAACCTTATTGTAAAGTGTTACCCATTAAATTATTATAATGTTTTATGTTGTTGCAGAATGGTTAAGACTGGTAAGAATGGTAATACTACACAAAGTATTAAATAATATTTTCATACTTTTTGCATAAATTTACAGCTCGAGTCACAAAATTGCAACTTGATTGACATTGAAATACAAATTATTTTGTTCATAGGTGGCACTTTGTTTTATTGTGATTTACAAACATTACACACCACATATTTTGTCTCAAAAATGCTCTTCTTCACTGACACTGCTGTCTCCTTAGTAAACAAGTACACTAACCTTATTAGGGGCCATAAAGAATAAAACTCAATTAGGGGCAAAATCGTTAGTTGCAGTGGCGTGTAATTTGTGGAAAATCTAATATACTCTAACTCATTTTCTCACAGTAAAGATTTGTAAAACATAGCAAAAAAAAACATGTATGTGATCTTCATATAACATAAGATAAATAAGTTGAGACAGTCATCCACATACAGTTGCATACACACGCACACATACTCTCACACACCACACACATATTTCAGCTGCCTCCCCTTGGATATTAATTTCACACCCCATTATCAGAAAGATTCCCTGTGGACATGAAGTCAGTGAAGTAGCCAAGCAAATGAACTTACGCACACAGTTTCAATAAAGACACCCACGATCCAACAGCGTGGAAATGGTGAAATAAAGAAATATATACATAAGTATATAAATATCAGCAGCTCGTGACCAGAATCCTAATGAGGCACAACAATGAAAATGTCAAACGCTCTCTGGTTTCTACATAACTGCCACTTCAGGTCAGAAAATACAGATTAAAGCATAATGGAGTTAAAACAGATGCTACCCCATAATGTATTAGCAGCTTAGGTTTTAATGTCATGATTTCCATGTTTTTCATGCTCTGTTTATCAATAAAGAATTAGATTTACAGAAATGTTGCCAGTAACAAGGGCCAGCAAAGTATGCGAAACTAATACTTTCAAAGCATATTTTGTACCAACTCTAGTTTCCTGCAAACATTTTTTGGGTTGAAAATTATGTGTTGAAATGTTGGTGTAAAATGTACAGCCCACCTGAACATAAAAAAAAAATAATAATAATAATATTATTATTATTATTAAGCAAATATTACCACACAACATTATTAACAATATTTAGTTGTTAGTCAGTATTTAGTCATTTGTGCACAACTAAAATAAATAAATAAACTGCACTTGGGAGGGAAAGCTGCAATAAGCACATAATGCAGGTAATCACTAACCCATGAAGATGGGTGAATGTGAGGATCAATCCATCTCTTACAGAAACAGGCCCATGTGTCTTCCTGTCCACTTTGAAGTGACAAATGACAATGCTTTGGTTCAAGGAGAGAAAAACTACACATTGCATTTGAATATCAATGTCTCTGAAGCTGAAGGGAATATACAATATACAGGGGTCATTTTACAACTGTGGCAGCTGCTGTCACTCATTTTTAGACTTAAAAAGTCAATGTACACAGTTCTCACAACTTCCCAGAGAAAACGTCTCAGGTTACTTATGTAACCATGGTTCCCTGAGTAGGGAACGGAACCGTATATGTTTTAAGACTGTTTAACTGTATTATTTAATACAAATATTGTATTAAATCATTTATATAAAACAATTATTACTCATTGGGGAAACTCCATTATTTGAGGTTCCCATTAAAAGTGAATAGCAAAAAGTTCACTAGTATTGTTGAGTTTGATTCTTTATAGGAAGAGATTTTGAGAAATTTAACATCACTTCCTCACCAATGGATCCTCTGCAGTGAATGGGTGCCATCAGAATGAGAGTCCAAACAGCTGATGAAAAAATCTAAATAATAGAAAAGTAATCCACACCATTCCAGTCCATCAGTTAACATCTTGTGAAGCAAAAATATGTACATTTGTAAGAAACAAATCCATAAGGCATTACAGTGTTAAACCATTGCCTCTGGCCAAAATACAGGTCTATAATCCATGATAATGTTTTCTCCAGTGAAAAAGTTGTCTTCTGTTGTCTTCTCACATCAAAATCCACCAAAATATTTGTTCAGAACTGTTTTGGATTGTTTTTGCTTGTAAACGGTGCTTGATCTGTGCGTATTTCTCTTCTGATTCAGACGTGATGACTTTTTCACTGGAGAAAGTGACATATTAGTTGTATATTAGCAGGGGGCAACGGTTTGAAATTATAAATGTCTTAAATACACAGGATTCATTGTGAGCAAGTGATGTCATGCTGAATTTCTTCAAATCTTTTCCAATGAGGAAATATACTCATCTACAACTTGCCCTGAGGGTGAGTACATTTTTAGCAAATGTTAATTTTTGGGTGAACTATTCGATTAAAGAGCATGGCACCATTGGTAAATTACTAGTTACTTTTTGTAAAATCACAATTATTTAGTGTTGCCTTGAATGAATCGACAATGAAGATACAGTAATATAAATATAATACAATGAATGTAATTTTATTAGTGCTGTGAAACGATTAATCGCGATTAATTAAGTTTCACAATTTGAGTTGAATTACTGAAATAAAATAACTTTTCCGTGACATTCTAATTTATTGAGATGCACCTGTACATATATTATGTAAACTTAAATGTTTATATTGGATACGATTAATCGCAATTAATCGTTTGACAGCACTAAATTATATGAATAAATATTTAACCCAGATTTCTGGATCTTAATATTTCTGTGACCTTGTATGACTGTAGTTAGAAATAAATTAGGCAAACTCAACAATCTGCATCAGCAGTTCATTTCAACTTGTGAAAGTTTATTTGTGGATCGACAAAGTATCAAATGGCAGGGTGATTTTTTTGGTTCCCAACTGAACTCTAAGAAGACCAAACACATTTTGTTTTGATTCTCTCCAAACCTATTATAAGCATAGTCCTAAATCATTTAAATCATAAAATCATTGATAAAGGACTTTTAAGCAGCACCATCTCACTATCATCAGCCCAGTCAAATGACTTTGCGTGGAAAAAATCCATTTCAATCCCTTGCAGCTCTTCCCCAGGATTACTGAGCATCCTTCACTGCTGACTGCTCCACACAACAGCATGCAGTCTAGAAGTAATTGCAGGAATATGCTGTTCAGCTTATTGTGTTTTGGGCTAAATACAAATCATTGACATGTTTGGCCATTCATCATGCCATCTGGGATTATAGGTACCAGTGAAGCATGGTCAGACGGTGGAAACTCTGATAACCTACATGCAGTGAGACAAATGAAGGCGGCACTTCCCACCTATTACGTCTCCTTACAAAAAGAAACAAATGAGGCCTTGTGTTTTCTAATTATCACAGCACATGATTCAATGTCAGAGACAAACACTGCAGAACACTGGAAATGAACAATCATATTGGTTGGCTGAGGGGGGCAGGACTCAATGGTAATGGCGGGCAGCAAATGATGGCCGCAGAGGATTTAGAGTCTATCAGGCTGAAACAATCAGACAGTAGCGAGATGTGAACAGTCACTCAACACCCTCAAGAACTCACTTTCCCTCAGATTCCACATGCTGATGTTCTGCAATTCTGTTGATGATCAATACATACCTCAGGCTGCAACTTACTATTCACATTTATCTCTAACAGTCTTCCCAAATGCTTTGAGTAAGAAATTTCCATGATTTTCAGTCATTCATTAATACTGGATGAGCATTTCTAAACATCATTTTATACAGACTGCACTCAAGAAGAGCAATTTCTAGTCTGTGCAATATTTTAGAGCTGAGAATAACCCGAAACATACTGCATGTTCTAAGAACGTTATGCTAACATTCCCATTAAGTTACGAAAACACTATTTTTGAATGTTCTCTAAACATTCTAAATGTTTTTTTCAATGTTTTAAAAACTTATTTTCTTGGTTATATGAATGTTAAGGGAATCATTTCATCATTTTGCAAACATTATGGGAACGTTACTTTTGAATGTGCTCTGAACCTTCTGAAACAAGTAGTAATATTGAAAAATAACTAAACTCAAATGTTTTAAAAAGAAAACATTCCATGAATGATGTATAGGCCCAAACTTTTTTGTGCTAATGTTTTAAGAAGATTATTAAAGACCAGATAACTTTGAACGAATGTTCTATTAGCATTACTGGAAAAAATGTTTGTTCATAACTTTAAAGGTGGGGTAAGTGATTTCTGGTAGCCAATGTTGATATTTCAAATCACCAAAACAAACACGCCCCTACCCCAAAAGTGTCTCGCCCCTATTTTGATAGCTCCGCCCCACACATACGTACGCAACCCAGGCAAGGATTAGTTCTGTGAAACAAAGCAAAACCAATGTTATACCGTGTCTACACCGGGCGTGACAAAATAATATAGAACTCATTATAATCAGTGATGCTGTCTACACTGGATGCGGCGCGGCGCGACACGACAAATCCCAGACAGAAAACTGCTGCTGCTGTGTTCTATTTATGACGTATTGACACAAATTTCAAATGATTTTCAACGGTCGCTTTGTCGGGTCCAGCTGTTGCGGCACGGCGCGAGACACGGTGTTACTCACCTATCGAGAAGAATCAAAGCAACCTCGGAGTCCGATCGCAGGCCTTTCGCTCCTTGAGTTCTCTTCAGCACTGGAAAGCTGATCCGATATTTACACGGGTCCTGCTTCTTGCCTTATCGTAAGCCTTCTTTTGTTCCGCAGACGTTTTCCCCTTTTGTTTTTTTTTCCGCCATCTCTATCTTTCTGTCACTTGGCTCGGCTAATGTCCGTCCTGTGCACTAAGCGCTCTCTCCTCCGCATCATGAATAGACGCCCCTTACTGCTGATTGGCTACAAGTTTGTTTTGGTACTCGGCCCAACTCAGTTTTCTAAAGCGTTTTTGAAAAAATACATACCCCACATTTAAGAGCCAAAGTTCTAAGAATGTTCCATGTTAGCAGAGAACATTCACAACAGCTGTGGTTTCCCATCTAAAAATGGACCACAGGTACAATACTAAAAGCAAATGTAAAGGAAAAAATGCAGAGGTAGAAAAACAACTTACTATTCACATTTATCTCTAACAGTCTTCCCAAATGCTTTGAGTAAGAAATTTCCATGATTTTCAGTCATTCATTAATACTGGATGAGCATTTCTAAACATCATTTTATACAGACTGCACTCAAGAAGAGCAATTTCTAGTCTGTGCAATATTTTAGAGCTGAGAATAACCCGAAACATACTGCATGTTCTAAGAACGTTATGCTAACATTCCCATTAAGTTACGAAAACACTATTTTTGAATGTTCTCTAAACATTCTAAATGTTTTTTTCAATGTTTTAAAAACTTATTTTCTTGGTTATATGAATGTTAAGGGAATCATTTCATCATTTTGCAAACATTATGGGAACGTTACTTTTGAATGTGCTCTGAACCTTCTGAAACAAGTAGTAATATTGAAAAATAACTAAACTCAAATGTTTTAAAAAGAAAACATTCCATGAATGATGTATAGGCCCAAACTTTTTTGTGCTAATGTTTTAAGAAGATTATTAAAGACCAGATAACTTTGAACGAATGTTCTATTAGCATTACTGGAAAAAATGTTTGTTCATAACTTTAAAGGTGGGGTAAGTGATTTCTGGTAGCCAATGTTGATATTTCAAATCACCAAAACAAACACGCCCCTACCCCAAAAGTGTCTCGCCCCTATTTTGATAGCTCCGCCCCACACATACGTACGCAACCCAGGCAAGGATTAGTTCTGTGAAACAAAGCAAAACCAATGTTATACCGTGTCTACACCGGGCGTGACAAAATAATATAGAACTCATTATAATCAGTGATGCTGTCTACACTGGATGCGGCGCGGCGCGACACGACAAATCCCAGACAGAAAACTGCTGCTGCTGTGTTCTATTTATGACGTATTGACACAAATTTCAAATGATTTTCAACGGTCGCTTTGTCGGGTCCAGCTGTTGCGGCACGGCGCGAGACACGGTGTTACTCACCTATCGAGAAGAATCAAAGCAACCTCGGAGTCCGATCGCAGGCCTTTCGCTCCTTGAGTTCTCTTCAGCACTGGAAAGCTGATCCGATATTTACACGGGTCCTGCTTCTTGCCTTATCGTAAGCCTTCTTTTGTTCCGCAGACGTTTTCCCCTTTTGTTTTTTTTTCCGCCATCTCTATCTTTCTGTCACTTGGCTCGGCTAATGTCCGTCCTGTGCACTAAGCGCTCTCTCCTCCGCATCATGAATAGACGCCCCTTACTGCTGATTGGCTACAAGTTTGTTTTGGTACTCGGCCCAACTCAGTTTTCTAAAGCGTTTTTGAAAAAATACATACCCCACATTTAAGAGCCAAAGTTCTAAGAATGTTCCATGTTAGCAGAGAACATTCACAACAGCTGTGGTTTCCCATCTAAAAATGGACCACAGGTACAATACTAAAAGCAAATGTAAAGGAAAAAATGCAGAGGTAGAAAAATAATTGAGCTTATCAGCTTTTAAATGGAGAAGAAAACACTTCCCATATAATTTGATCCATACTTGGAAATGATTGACCTTAAAATGAGTGCGGGAAACATGCAAATTATTCCTTTTTCCACCTGGTTGGTTTTAGTGAGGAAAATGTTTCTGCCACTGAGCTTTCCCAAAAGCATTCATTTGAAGCAAACTTAGTAGAGGTGTTACCTTTCTGTCCACACATGCGACTGACCGGCCAGCTACGCGATTGGCAACGTCTCTATGTTCATTTATGTCATCGTTCAGTAGATCCTCAAACCGCCCATTACGAAACTTAAAGAGCTTGTCAGTGTACGTTGCTCTCCCTGCATGAAACGACATGAACAATTTACATGAAACTAACATCCATTTACTGTAACATTTCCTTCAAAGCCTCATTTATGAATGTGTTTCATACCTGAGAAGGCGTTATTAGTGTTAAGGACGTAAATTTCCTCTCTGCCATCACCATCTATGTCACATGCTGTCACTCCGATGGCATTGCCCTGTCGATCTCTGAGTGCATAATATGGAGAACTGCGGTTGTCAACCGCAATGTTAACAAGCTTCTTCTTAAACTTGTCATACTTCAACACCAGATTTGGGCCATTGTAGCTAAGAAGAAAAAAGGTAGAGCTATATATTAAGTTACATAATTCAAACAAATCAAGAAAAAGGGCCACAGCTTAAAATCCTTAATTTATACACCTTGTTCTGCAATAAAACCTTTCATATAAAAAAAAATTTAATACTATAAGGATAATAAATAGGCCTATTTAATATTAAAATGTAAAATATCTGTGTCAATATCGCAAAAATGTAAGCTCAATCAAACAAAAGCACCATATAACTTCTAGACACTGATAAAAGTATTTTCTCTAGAGAAACAAAATGTCATAAATGCTTCACTTCATTATTCTGCTGAAAACAGTGCATGTGATCTGAAGACTAGTACACTCACCCTGTCACAAACATCTCCAGATCTCCGTCTCCATCCACGTCAGTGACAGCCACGCCATAGTTGAGCTGCGTAGGGTTATTCTCATAGTCCGGTGGGAAAACATTCTGAGTTACTGAGGCAAACATGGGTTCAGTTCGCTGACCCCAGGACAGTCCCAGGGCAGACACACCCACAGTGAGCAGTAATATCCAAGCTGACATTGTCACCTGTGAAATTCATCAAGTTTTTAAAGAAAAAAAAACTCAAGACAAGATCATAGTCATGCACACCTCCCGATCTGTGAAAAAATGCTTTCAAGGAGATTATGACTCACTGAAGTGAGAGGAACTGTAAAACATCCTGAACTGAGCCATACAATCGAGATATTCCACTTTCATTGAGTTTTAGGAGACTGAATTGCTTTCTACAGTGTTAAGAGGCAATTACCTTCCCAGCATTACACTCACAGCACAGAGACATAAATACAGAGACTGCAGACATGTGACAGGTCAGAATGGACCAAATTAAGCTCTGAGAGTAGAAGCCGTTTCACTGCACATGAGACAGACATTTAAGACGGCAAAATCCATAAGTGACAAAGAGTATGAGGACATGATATTTCTATCAATATATCTGTCTGGCCGTCAATATATCCATTTAAGTATCTGACGGTCTGTCTGTCTATCTATCTATCATTAAATCAAATTTGTTAAGAGAATGTAGAACTCACTTGCCCATTTATGATATATCCATTCAGCCATCCATCCATCTATCTGTCTATCTACATGTGAACATAAGTAAATGCAGGCACAGCCATAGACAACAATGCCTTAGTCCTAACAGTAACCCAAAAGTAAAAATTCTGCCTTAATTTACAAACCCACATATCTTTTTAGTGGAACAAAAAAATAGTTATTCACATTCTCAGAATGTTCTGGAAGGGTTATCTCAAACTTAAGAGCAAACATTTTTCCAGTTGTTATTAGAATGTTCATTCAAATGTTTGGGTCTTTTTAATAATGTTCTCAAACAGTTAGAACAAAAACATTCTACATCATTTATGGAATGCTTTTCTGTAAGATTTTAGATGGACATTCGTCTAAGAGGTTTAGAGAACATTCAAAAGCAACATTCCTATAATGTTTGTTTGCACAATTTCATTTTTTAGAGAACATTCAGAAATAACGTTTCCATAACTTAATGGGAATATCCATACAATATAGTCACATTTAAATGCAGACTCAAAACTCATCTGTTTAGCTGTGCATTTATTGAATGAGCACTGTGCGATGTCCGAACTGATTGCAATATATTATATGTATAATCGTTTTCTTAAATTCATTTTAAATCTCTTAAATCAATTTTTTTAATAATAATTTTCAAAGTTTTTAAATTCCTTGTTTTATTGTTGTGATTATTGTTTTTATTTTATTTTATGTAAAGCACTTTGAATTACCATTGTGTATGAAATGTGCTATACAAATAAACTTGCCTTGCCTTGCCTTGCCTTACAATGAAAGTGGTAAAGGAGCAAGATTTTCAAGTTGATATGCAGCTTAATTTTAAGTCTGTTCCTTACACAAAAATATCGTATGTCAGAGGATTATTTGTATGGGCTACTTTTATGGGGCTTTTGGGAGCTTGATCGTCTGGGTCCCCATTCATTTTCAATGTATGGAAGAGAACAGCTGGGACATTCTGCTAAAGATCTTCTTTGGTGTTCTACGTAGAATGTCAGGTTTGAAATGACATGAGGGTGAGTAAATAATGACAATAATAAAAAAAGAGAAGGTACTGGTAATTATCTGCAACCAGTCCAACCAGAACTATAACAATAATGGCACAGAGGAATGATATCATTGGAATCACTTTAAAAAAAATTGTTCTAGCTGATGAACGATGAAACATCGACAGTTAATCAGTGTCTACATTTAAAGAGCTTGAGCATTTAAAGTGGCAGACAACAAAATTGCAGTGCTTATATTAAACAGAACATTACTATGCCTCGGTGTAGACACTAATATATATATATATATAATTTTCTTTCTCAGTTTAGAATGTAGGGGAAAGCCAACAAAGCCATATGTGCAGTATGTTGCAAAGTAAGAGAGATGACACGCTGGTGTGAAACACAAAGTGGAGATAGATGAGTGTATGTGTTTGCAGCAACAATTTCAGGAATATGCATGTCTCTGCTCCACTAATCAACCCATTGAACTCTAACATCAAAGCCATGTAATTAATTTAGATTAAGGTTGTCTTAATATATGCTCCGCTGTTTGAGATGAAAGTGTAATCAAAGCACTCAAATAAGCATTGTATTAGTCATATACTGGACCAAAGGTTTGAGCAGAGTGATAATTTGAGTGTTGTTGACAGAATGTACATAGCCAGACTGATTAAAGGCCTAAGCAGAGGTTGTCAGTTTGTTCTATCCTGTCCTATATTACTAACATTACCCCTTTCATATTAATAACTCAAAACAGCAAAAACAGTAAAAGCAGAGTAAACATGTCATTTTATTGTAATTCATTTAGTGTTTATAGCTTTAACATTCCAAATGGCTGGATAAGGGCAGTGGAGCACCAGTGCTCGGAGAGTACCGTATGTACTGTCATCTGTCATCGTAATATGATGATGTAAAAGCTTTTCGGATGAGGTGAGAGCTGGACGTGTTCCAAACTAAAAAGTCTTCACTGCTATGGGGTCATAAATCCAGACACAGACAGGCAGAGGAACCACAAGAAGAGGTGAATCTGTCCTTGCAGCAGCTAGAATTGATGCGATCAGCTTCATCTCACTGCAGCTATCATCATACAACACACTTACTGCAGTTACAACAGAGATGTTAGATGATATGCATTATGATCTCATATGAACATTTCTCCCCGTATGTTAAAACTATTAAATCAAAGTTTGTAATTTCATATACATAAACAATAGCATATATATTCACAATGTTTAATACTAAACCATAAACTCTCTGTGACCTTCACCTTGTAAGTAATATTTACTCTCATCTTGAGTGTGTACTCATGCATTTCTGGTCTCTGATCGGACTGCGACAAACACCAGCACAGCCAGTCCCTCAAGCATCTCTCGTCTTACAACAAGACACTGCTTTAAAGTAAACTTAGAGAAAACATACAGCTTCTCATCTTTAAAAGTAAGAAAAAAGTTTCAAAATATGGTTAACAAAAATAATGAAATAGATCTGAAAATAAACGGATAGTAATAATAGTACTCCACCTACTACTACTAATACGAATTGTTATTGATAATAATAATAATAGTGATGATAATGATGATATTGTTAGTATTATTATCATCATCATTATTATTAAAGCAGGCATGCAATTCATTAAACTATGCTGGAAACAAATGAAAAACATTATTGTGATGTTTCGTGTTTGTTTAAAAAGTCTTAAAATCCGATGAGCAGAACAAGTGAAGCAAATAAAGAAAAATATGAAAGCGCAAATGGACCTGAAGCCGAGCATTCTCTTATGATCTCCCGACTATTTATCAATACAGTTGTCTCGTCTCATCTGATCGGCTGAGAACATTTCATTAGATGCGCAGTGAAAGATCAGATCAAAGGAGCCGCTTTAACTTCAAAGACGCTGCGGCAAACATAAAAGCACCGGTACTTACTTATGAAAGTCCAGCGCCTCTCATAAATGACTTCCCTCCTCATAGATTAAGAGATTCCCTGTGGACCTTGAGTATGTCTCTTAGTGATTTTACACAACTTCCCAAGAATTTGCTTTATGAAATCAGCTGTGTAAGAATCCATCCAATTACAAGCCCCTGCTGTGAATATTTAAAAGAGGCAGCCAATGCCTGCGTTGGAGGGCGGAGCTATGCGTGCTGAATGACGCTTACCTGAGGCTTTCTACTTAATAATTCATAAGCACGGGTTTAACGCACAGTCCAACTTATTTTCATGAATTTAAATAATTTTAATATTCAAAATATTTTCAATTTGAATAACCAATAGCCTACACATAAAGAAAAAGAATAACTTAATCTATTACTTTGATAAATAAGCTATATTACATTATGTGCATGCAACCATATTCTTTAAAAAGAGCTCTTTTTAATTAAAGTAATGATTGCCACTCTGATCATATAACCATTTTATGAGAATATTTTATGGATCCATGCTGTTTATAGTAAAGTGATGGCTCATCTACTGTCTTGGACATTGGCAGAAGTCCGTCTTCCCAATCCTTTTTTCCCACTGGTTTAACAAATGTTCATTAGCAACGCCTCATGCAGCAACAAGAAACCTCAGGCTAGCATTTAAACTTACAATCTCACAAACAAGCTAGAAATACATCTTTAAATGAGGTCACATCAAAAGGAATCAAATGTTCCTTGATCTTTTGAGATAAAATGATTTTACTATGAAAACATACTGCACCCTAGATCTCAAAACTTCCTCCTTAGTCCAAGAAAGTTCATTATCGACAACTGAAAAACTCTCACTCCGAAAACCCTGGATTTCTGATGTTAGAAACCTGAAATGTTAAGATATGACCGCCACATTTACAGTATGTCCATCTTCTTCAAAGCAAAGGGGACTTGTTTCCCACTGAAGTGGTGATATTCTGTGATAATCACTGGCTGAATGTACTTTGTCCCTCTTAGTGCCAAATAAATAATACATGAGCGTGAAATATTGATTTGTGTTGAAATTAGTTTACTAGTTTACTTATACAGACGATGGAGAGGATACAAGGACAGCTATATAGGAAACACTGGTTGCAGCCCTGTGACAATTGTCATTTATTCAGAAATATCTGACCACTAAATGCAGCGATTCACCAATCACAATCAAGTATTGTGCAAATACAAATGCAAGTACAAGTACAAATGCAGCTGTTCTTACTAACACAACTGTAGAACATGCAAGAAAGGAAAAATCATTCTGTTGGCATTTGTCAAGTAACAGATTTTTACATTAAAGAACAAACAATTAATCAATCAAACACATACCTGGCTTTAGCTACACACAAGCTCCACTCACCACAAAAGTCTAAAGTAATAGAAATGGTTTACACAACATTAAACACGAACAAGTCTTGCCCTTTTTATTCTAGCTCAAAAACACCTGAACTAGCATTACACATGATGGGAATTAATTTAACTTTACAGTTTCAGTCAGTACCAACAAAATTATTTCTGTAATCTCAACACAAATGGTTTAAGTAAAATTCTATTTCAAATTCAGTGAGCTGTATATAAGTTAAATTCAATGAGCTAATTTTTATTTTATTTAGTTTTTATTTTCATTTCCCCCTTTTTTAGTTAAAACTTTATTAGATCCAAGAGCAATTGCTTAATCTTTCTCAAGAGGATAGAGTAGTCTTAACACTAAGTGTCAGAGAGAGAACATGGCTATGAAAAACTAAATTATGACTTTAAAATTACATTTTAACATTATATGTGGATGATATTTTATTTATCCGTATGAAAACAGCATTACTAAGCACAGAGAGGACTGCTAACACTAAATTATTCTCAAGTTTAGTATCTTGTTCTCTGAACAAAGCAAGACTTTCAAATCATTAAACTTCAATTAAGGCTCCATATGTCCTGTCTTCATTTGCATTTCATTCTTCATTTGTTGCACTTCAGCATATACATTTGGACCAGCACAGCATAATTTGACACTACAGGTACTGCATACATGTGGAGACCTATTCTATCTCCAAGAAGAACTTCTAAACCACCACAAGAAATGATCCACAATGGCTCAGCCATCCTTGAACGAAGCCAATTACGTTTCTGAAGACACCTGATGTGATCCCATCGCCATTGAAATTCAAAGTTAGCATGCCATCACCACTGCCTCACGTGCCCCATTTGACCTTGCTTTTGTGAAGCAAGCAGGGTTATTTTGTAGTGTCCTTTACTACTGTTCTAATTTCCATTGGTGGGTTTCTGCTTCATTATGATTTGCTCTCTGTAGATTTCCATAAATTTGGGATTTGAGAAGAGAAAAGCACCTGCTTGGATCTAGAATTTGGTTTAGCCTTTAACAAATCCATGCATCACCTTCCTCTGACAGCACAATGCAATGTCCTTGGCAGAATCTCATGGGCTTTCAGTGTACCAAACAGCTGATGGATGCCATCATGTGTCTCCCGCTCTCCCCAAATGCACCATCATCATTGGCTCCCACAACACATGACATTACAGGCCTAATCTATACAGATCCTATTAAGAATCACTGGCAAAATGAGTCCCGCTGCGCTGAAACCAGGAAATGTGACAAAGCACTTTGAGTTAATTAGTGCACTGTAAGCTGCAACTAAACTATCTGCTAAAATCAATTAATGTGTTTGTTTTGATTGGATGAGATGCTGCTGATTTTCATATGGTTATTTTAGTGATTTATGTACATTGTGCTGTTCACAAGCTGTCTCATATAAACTGATCAATCAATCAATATAAGCCAAGGATATGTAAATAAAAAGTATACTGAAAAAAAATATATATTGTAAACCGTGAAACTCAATAAAAATACATATTTTTGAAATTGAAAACTTTTTTTTTTTTTGCCATATGAACTCACAGACTTTCTATATATCTCCAAAAGACTTGAAATATAGCACAAGTCATATGAATATTTTTATGATACATTTACGGTGCTTTTTGTCAGTAAAGGGTGGCCAGGATAGTCTTTCACGTAACATCTTACACGATATTACAAGGAAGACAGAAAGTCATATGGGTTTGCAGTGGCATAAGGATGTGTAAATGATGACAGGATTTTCATTTTATGGTGAACTATCCCTTTAAGTAGTTGGCTCACATTGCTTGCCCTTTACTAAATGTAAATGCACTGATTAGATTCTTATTTTATAGGATTTCAGCAAGTAAAACCCTCTAAACTGGACCCTCCTCTGATATGAGAAATGCCCTTTAATTGCCAAAGGGAAAAGAAAAACTCCAAAAATGGGATTAGACTTATTTTTAATACTCATTTATGTCTATTGCACTAATATCTAATCTGCTTGTATGCCCATTTTTTCATTCTCTCTGTCTAAACACCATCATTCACTGTTTTAATTTAAAGTATGAATATGTGATTTATTTTCCGATGGCATGGAGCATAAATCTACTTTGCTGTGTGATAACAGAGGTGATGTCCCCTATATTGATTGGGAGCTTAATAGTGTTTGTTCTTTATAGCTGATCTCAGGAAATAAGGAGAATATACAGTTTTGAATAAGCTCTCTCATGGTATCCAGCAGAGGGATGGAGCTACACTGAAACAACACACACTTCCCCCGTGCATTATTTTAATATATGACAGCGCTGCAAAAGAATATTCTCAGAGAAGTGAACTTTAGTTCAAAGTAGCAAATGCTGAAGAGTATTTTTCATTAATAAAAGAAGACAAATAAAGAGACTCGAATCACTAAAGTTTCAGAATCTCAACAATGTCTCAACTGTGCTTAGACTTGCCAAAATATTAAAGTCTTCAATCAAAATGCAGTAAAATTTCTCAACAAGTTCTTACAAAACCAAATGATATATATATATTTTGCTATTCTCTGTACTCTTACTGTATCTCAACAAATTAAATGAAGACCATTTTTATTTTGATATATAAGAAATCAATTATGTTTTCTGCAGAAGCATCATGCCCATTCAAATTGACAAGAGGCATGTGCCAGTGGATTTTTAATGCAACTGTCACAAAAAAAATTCTTTGAAAATTAAGTTATATGGATAAAAGTGACTGATCTAAATTGTGGCAGAAAAAAAACTATTCCCATGTCTAAATTTGGTCAGCTCAATCATGTTTTTCTTTCTTGTTTTTATACAGTACAATAAAATTGCATTGTGATCTCTCGCTGTCAAGTTCAGTTGCAACGCTTCTGATTTATTTTTTTGAAAGGATTTGAACCAGTGTTGTTTTATATTAAAGTTTTTGTTAATATTTTAAATTAGATTTGAATTTTAGTCAAAATATTAGTAATTTAGTTTTTTTGTGCATTTTTATTGTTTTTATAAAGTTTTTTTGTTGTTTATTTAGTTTTAATCATTTTTAGTACTTCAACGAAACAAAAATGAGAAATGTTGCTCATGCAATTAGCTGAAATTTAATACATTTTAAATTAGATTTTATTTCAAGTTATTAAAATCTTTTTTTCAGTTTTAGTTTTTGGTTTTACTTAACGACAAAAACCCTGTGTTCTTTCACCTTTCACCTGGAGCTGTAAAATATCAGCCACTTCTGTGTGTTCCGTTAGTTATCTCTAAATCTGAAAAAATAGTCTATGACAAATACTTTATTTCAGAGGGATATCTGCTCCATTGAACACTGTTTCTATCATGGTAGTGCTATACCATCATGCGCTTTGATAAATGGATGGAGAAAGTTTTCTGCCATTGGCCTGCAAGCTTCCAAACTTTCCTAATTATTTTTTCTCTGTTTGTTGCATTCACTCTATTGCCTGAAATCCTGCTTGTTGAGCAAATAAAACACACAAGGCCATCATTCTGCCTCTGCTCTCCATGCCAGAGCTTCATGGCCTGAGGATCTGTCAAATCAATAAGAGAAATCAAAGAGTGATTCCCACAGTCATGGCACAGACAAGCTGGTGACGAATAGAAATGTTCCAGATGTCTCAGCAGATCAGAATCACAGATACATCCTGTGTCAAATGCCCTGAAGGTGATGTGTCATTTCTCCTATTAATATTC